TCCCCACCTTCCCCCTTTTCATCAGATAAATCTACTCGCGGAATCAAATCTGAAGGAGAAGAAACGGTGTTAAAGGAGCCATTTGTTCGACATCGTAATTTTGCCAGCTATTTGTATCATCTGTGACCAGGTTTTAAAATAAAGCTGTGTGTTTTCTGCCTATGTTGTTTTGTCTAAGAAGGGAGAATATCACAAATCTCCCCATTCGTGCTTAAGATACTTTCCGCTAGAACAACCTCTTAACAACTTTACCTGGTTTTCCCACATTTGATGTCGTTGTGTTGCTAAATAGTTTTTCAACAAGACCTACTAAAGATGGGAAAACAATTTTTTTCTATCAGTGGCATTTAGGATTTTTTGAAAAGGAATACACTCCAACTTATCGCGGATTTGAGTCTTTCTATGGATTTTGGAATGGAAAAGAAGATTTTTGGGACCACACCTCACTCGAAGATGTATGGGGGACAGATCTACGAAATAACATGAAGGTGAGATCGATGATGTTCTTTTATGAAGCTTGCTTCAAAACTCATCGGAGGTAATCCTTTCCTATAAGCAGTTTCATGTGTCTAGCGGTGAGGACGATACAAACAACTTCGTAAAAGGGTCTGGGTACAATCATGGCTCATGGACACAACAATCTTCAGAAGCAGGAACCGTTTTGAAAATTATTAAAGACTACATTAAAAATATGTCACAATAACTTGGTTGCTTGAACTTCTTTTCGTTCTACAGCCCGTCAAGAACGAGAGTGGCCATTATGGAACAGAATTATTCACAGAAGTGGCTGAGCGAATCATTGATACTCACAACAAATCCGAGCCGCTGTATTTGTATTTTGCGCATCAAGCTGTTCATTCGGGAAATCCAAAGGACCCTTTGCAAGCTCCAAAGAGAGTGCTGGACGTAAGTTGTACAGGTTATATGTACTCGAGGCTTAAGGGACACCAAAGTATATACAACTTAAAGGAGTAATGTGCTTTCGAAACTAAAGAAACTTTAAAAAAAAACACCTTTTCACGTTCTGAGATTCAAAAGGGTAAAGTGAAGGTTCGAAACTTGTCACTTTTCAAATGGGCTCAACTGTCGACTATGAACGCCGCCATTTTGAAAGCAACTCAGTAACCTGGCTGCACACCCATACGCTCGTAATGGCGAGCAGTGTTGCTTGCAGTTTGCAGACAGCTGCTGCAGGAAAACGTTAAAAATCGTTATTTCGGTCATGAATGCCTCTTTACGTAGATTTTAATTATTCAAAAAGATCATTTGGAGACGGAAAAACGGCGTGAGGTATCCATATATAAGCCTATATATGGAGTTCAGTCTTTAAAAATGATCTTCTACTGGGCATTAGTGTGGCGAGCAGTCTGTTTGTCTTTCTGACTTCAGGTGATTAACTGTCTTTTTCATTCTTCAGAAATTTCAGCATTTTTCAAAGGAAGACAGAAGAATTTATGCTGCCATGGTGGCGTCTTTAGACGAGTCCATTGGAAATGTAACTAAAGCTCTCAAGAGAAATGCAATGTTTGATAACTCTGTGATCGTTTTCACGACAGACAATGGAGGCGCTCCATGGGGATTTAACTGGTAAGAAAGAATCGCAGCCGCACACAGAATCAAATAGCAACGAAATTTTAATTAATGTGGTAATAAGGGACAGTTTTAAATAAGTATCTTTGCCAAAAAAATCAGCTTATTTTAAAAAAGCAGGTGCAAAAATTTCCATGATACGATTTTGCCCCCCCCCCCCCAAAAAAAAAAACACAGGATCCGAGTGAGAAAAAGAATCAATCTTTAATCTCAGAATTGCTTAACAAGATCCTTGAAATTTTTCCATTTCTTTTCATTCCCATGCATCTTCTAACTAATTTAGGAACGCGGGATGTAATTACCCACTCAGAGGAGGCAAGGACACACTCTGGGAGGGAGGAGTCCGTGGAGTTGGTTTCGTTCACAGCAAGCTCATCGAAAACAAAGGCCGTGTTAGCTATGATTTGATTGACGTCACAGATTGGTTACCAACCTTCTATCATCTGGCCGGAGGTGACGTCACTAAAATACAAGATAAGATTGACGGTATGAATGTGTGGGACACCATTGCAAATGGGAAGAAATCTCCGCGCACGGAGGTATAAGAAATTCAAAATAACATTTATTCAAATTTTCATTCAGGAAAAAACTTCAATTATTTTATTCGCTAAAGTTTTTTTTGCAAGGATGCGTTGTAACAGGACGAATTCAAGTTTCGTACCCAGCTCATTAATTAAATTATTTTACCACATCAAAGGTTCTCCACAACATCGATCCCTTTCGCCGATTTGCAGCCATTCGAGTGAAAGAATACAAGTTAGTCGTGAATCAAGACGCTGATTACAAAATCACTTGGCTTCCGAGGTATAATGTCCCTGGGGAACTGGACTCTCTTCCCCAGCCCTCTACCTTACCTGGCGCGGTTATTGAATGTGGAAAATGGGACAGTGAAGAAGAGGCTGCATGTAAAAGTGATGTTTTTCCTTGTTTGTTTAACGTGAAAGAAGGTAAAGTAAATTTCATTGCTTTTATAGGGTGCAAGTTGATTATGGTTTGTTTGACTGACTAATTGATTGGTTAAGTAGCTAAGCAAGTGATTTGCCAAAACTAAGAACTGAGCCTTTCCGGCTGACTGATGAAAGAACCGCTCACTTGCTTGACTACCCAAAAACTGTCTGAGTGGCTGGCTGACTTATGAACTGATTGACGTATTAAGCGACCAAAGAAGATAGAAACAGTCTTACTGACTGGCCAGCTAGTGCGTGACCGGTCGGCTAACTGACTGACTGACTGACTGACTGATTGCCCGACTGATTGGCTGACTGACTTACTGATTGACTTACTGACTTACTGACTAACTGACTGCTTTAATGACTGACAGATTTGCTGACTGACTGACTGACTGACTGACTGACTGAATGACTGACTGACTGATTGAATAATTGAGTGCCTAAATGACAGAAGGAATGACTGGCTGAGTAACTGACTGACTGATTACAGTCATATTGAGAACGTTCTAAAAGAACAAAAAATACTCAAGATTACGAACAATACTTTCTACTATAAAATTTGATAATTTAATTTACTTTTTTCAGATCCGTGTGAGTACAACAATATTGCTCAATCCAACCTTGATACAGTAAAACGTCTTATTTTAAGACTTCTTCATTATCACAAAAAGGCCGTTCCTATATGGTTCCCGGAGAGGGATTGCGATGCGGACCCAGAAAATCATGACGGGTTTTGGGGCCCTTGGAGGTCTTCAGAAGCTAACAAGGCTATTTTGAAAGAAGTAATCGAGAGCATACCGTCAGTTAATGAAGAGAAGCATTCTAAACGTAAAAAGATTGCAATCGATAAGACAGAACTTGATGAAGAGTCTTTAAGTTTATATAATGAACAGAGCAAGGAATTTGAAAGTATGTTAAAAAATTACCTCAACGAAGTTGATAAACGTAAAAGGAGTGAGACTTCTCCACAGAGAAGTGGCAAAATGAATTAGTGCTGCGTTCAAGAATTTTGGTTTACTGTGAGTACAAAATATGAGAACGCAGTAATTTTCAATTGAGTGTCAAATTAATCTGAGATTACTTTTAGTTTCGCTCTACTATGCCCTGTGATTGGTCCAGAAAACTCGCGCCACTCTCTCAACAAATCCGTACTAAAACCAATCACGACTTGATTGGTTGTTTTTACCTAAAATTCTCATTGACTCTTATCAGCATTCTCCTTTCTTCCGATTGGTTGTTTTGGTTTTACGCGCGACACTCAATCGAAATGCGCTCTACCTTTACGTGAAAATTGGTTGTAAGTTGTCATTGCATTGTTTTCGAACACGGCTGTAACATAATATAAAGTTTTGAGCGAGTCTCGTTTGTTTCTGTTATTATTCGGTAATCGCTCGATTGTGGTGATAAGGAAAAAAGTTACGTTTGACGCAAGGGTTAAAATAAAATTTATTTTGGCTCAGAGCTGAGGCCTATATCTACTTCAAAGTGATAAAAAAGGCAATAAAATATTTTATCTTTGAAAGTTTTTTTTTCTCATTTTGATTGTAAATGTTAATTAAATATATGTTATGAGTAACTTTCTAGGTTGTGTCAAATACGATAAGAAAAACCATACAAAGAAGATGATAGTTAGTGATCTTTCTCTAAATTGCAGATAGTTCGACTGCTCCCTTAATTAGTGTAGGTAATTCCGAAGGAAAGAAAAAATGAATAAAAACGAAAGAACACGCGTGTTTCGCCAATTAGAAGAACATGGGGCTTCGAATGTATGGCTCATTTTCATTACATTACGGGAATTTCCTGTCGAGAAAACTCCCTCCACTTCGTGCAAAAGAGTTCGGAGATCTGCTTTCAAAAGATTTAAATGTCGAAAACATAACTGGCTTGCAAAGCCCTAAATATTTACCCATACTCAAAAAGATTAAAATTGATTTACTTCGTGTTGCTCATTTGTAGCCTATAGACTAGGTGTAATTTTTTGTCTCTACGCCGAGCAGAACTGGGGAGGCAAGCATGACGCGCTACGAGTGTGATCATGAATGATGGGTAAGCCACACTCGAATGGACTCAAATGACTCGCTCTTCGCTTTCGCCTTGCACCCACCTGTGCGCGCCTGAAAGATGCAAACAAAAGAAAAACAAGCAAAAATTCAGGTTCCATGACCTGCATATGGATCCAGCCATATGATGAGAACGGTTACGATTACTGCAAAACTTGTTCCCAGGGTGCCTCTTCCGCCTACCCGGTAAGAATTGCTTTTGACTATTCATCAGCGGTGCGATTGCTTTCAAAAAATTCCATTTCAGATCCTGTTGCGGATGTTTGACCTTCACTGGCAGGGTATTCGTTTGAAGAGTCCTCCAGCAAATCACTTACACTATCTGCTGGGTCAGTAGTGTCAATGTCTGCACTGATATTCATTAAATCATCGTCATCGCCATTATTTTGTTCAGCGTTTGATGTTACTTTCAAAGAGGACATCCCTTCTGGATATTGATCGTCGTCTATCGAATCACTATCGTCAGCTGAGGAGTTCTCAAGTTCACTTTTTAAAATTTCGTCATCTCTAATTGCAATGTTTCCTATTTCTGTTCTTCGTGTTCCTTGTTTCTCCACCTTGCGAGGTTTATTCGCGATTTTTTCTAATTTCCTAATAACTGAGGACGTGTCAATATGGCTTAATTTAGTGGCTAAAGTCTCCTTCCCTCCTTTGTTTGACTTAACAACAACATCCTCGGCTATTAATGCTTTCTTTATCATTTGCAATTTGTGCATCAAGTCGTCCTCTTGAGTTTTCTGTTTCATCTTGGCATACAACAAAGCTAACGACTCCTTCATCAAATGGCCATTACGAGGAATCTGAACCTTCTTTCCTGCATTTGTAATTTTTAAAATTGACTTCAACATCTGATAGACTCCTTTGTCGTGTTCTTCGTGTGTGCTGAACACCTTTCCAATCCTCGTCGTAGTGACAGTGCTGTTTATTTGAGATGAGTGTCTCTTCGCATTCACCGCAGACGGGATGGAGTCGAGAACCCTTTGTAAGATAACCTTGTTACCTTTTGAGGATTTCCATGGGCCCCAGTAACCTCCGTGATCTGCAGGGCTGGCGGTAGGGTCCCTCTCAGGGAACCACACGGGAAGGGCATTTTTCTGGTAATGAATGAGTCTACGAAGGAGCCTCCTAACTTTTGGAAGGTGAATGTGCGCAAGATTTCTATACTCGCAGGGATCTGAAACAATAGATAGGAGAAAGTGATCTATCTGACAAACACAAGTGAAACATTATGGATTAATATCCTTAAACTGCGTAACTAGCAGTTATGTCCAATCGTCGACCGCGAAGCCGTGTTAACGTGTGGCAAAGCCGCGTAAGATTTGTGACGGAAACTTGTACTTTCTCACTCGCGGCAGTTTATGGTAGACTATCAATAGCCACTTCGTAATTTGTTGCACCAACATTCCTGCGCAAGCACTGATACATTCGATCTTAAAGCCGTCCACATTTTTGGCACTGAAGAAGTGACAAAGTTATGCGGTTTGAGCCAAGAAAATAAACAGATAAAACAAAATGATTATCACATCCCGGTCACGGTCATGTTTTTCAGGTTTGTGGCCGGATCTCGTGAGGGTAAAAGTATGAACAGTTGATTTACTCCAATCTGTCAATCTGTCAATTCCATTAATACTTCATCTCGAACTTCCCAGCCTTGCAATTCAAAATTGCATTCAAGTCTGCAACGCTTAGTTAACAAAGATATTTAGCTTTGGAATTGCGAAACGTTAACAACAGCGCTCGCACAAAAGAATGAGCGTGGTCTTGTCATGAACCCAACTTGAAGGCTTCTAACATTTGGGCATGACGACTTATTGTTTGCATGAGAGCGCGGAGTTAGAAATTGCCTCGATCTAAGGCGATTTATCTAACCAGACGTCGTTTTCCCAACCTCTTTTAAAGGCAAGTAGTTGTAAAATGCTCACCTTTTCTAACGTTGAACAAACAGGGAAATTCATTAGTGTCACAAGCATCCCTTTTGCTCCTGGGTCGCCTACCACACTTAATAACAGCACCGGGCAACGTAGAGGGCTGGGAAAGAGAGTCCAGTCCTCCCTCGACTTCGTAACGCGGATGCCAGGTTGTGTTGAATACAGCGTCCTGGTTAATAATCAGTTTGTAGTCACCTACTCGAATAGCTGCAAATTTACGGATGGGATCAATGTTGTGGAGGACCTAAAAAAAACAACATCAAGGTACATGTCAGCCTCTCCGTTATTTTAGGGAAATTAAGAATTTGCACAAAAAATATGTTGTTTAAGCCAGTTACACTTTTGGTATTTACCTCCTTTCTTGGGGATTTCTTTCCATTCGCTATTGTATCCCACACATTTACGCCATCAATCTTGTCTTTTATCTTGTTGACGTCACCTCCAGCCAGATGATAGAAGGTTGGTAACCAATCTGTGACGTCAATCAAGTCATAACTGATACGGCCTCTGTTTTTGATCAGGTTGCTATGCACAAATCCCACTCCACGGACCCCTCCCTCCCAGAATGTGTCTTTACCTCCTTTTAGAGGGTAGTTACAGCCTTGATTCCTGAGAGGGGAATGACGAGAATAGAGATGAAACTGATTGGGTAATTAAGGATATACCAAAACAAACCAAAAAAATTGGACTTAGTTGCCGCAACTATCGTAACTCTTGAAATCGTTTGTGAAGTTCTTATCACTGCGCTTTGAAGTTTTTAAAGTAATGTACTTGGAATGGACCCGTACGGAGAGGGGGGGGGGGGGGGGGGGGGGGGGTGGTGAAGTTATCCTTGCCCCCCTGCTCTCGGCTGAAAATAGAAATACTGATCATAACCCTTGCTACGTAGTGGGAAATCCGCTCGCTGTTTTTAAGGTGGGGGGGGGGGATTTCTCATCGATCGCATGAATAATTTATTTATCTTTATCTTTACCCCCGATGGTGTATGGTTTATTTTTGCTTCACAGGATGATCAGGTATGAATTTTTTACCAGTTGAATCCTCTCGGAGCGCCTCCATTGTCGGTTGTGAAAACGATCACAGAGTTATCAAACATTCCATTCCTTTTAAGAGCTTTCGTTATGTTTCCAACGGACTCGTCCAATGAAGCTACCATCCCAGCATACGTCCTTCTGTCGTCCATTATAATATCCTGGAATTTCTGAAGAATAGAGTATGAAACAGGATAAAATGTATTTCTAACCACATTGGTTTAAGACTAAAATACGAACAAGTTGAAAATACATTTAGTTTGCGCTGCATTAAACTTGTGTCGCCTTATCAATTGGGATAATGAACGGAAAGACATGCAGGTGCAAAGACATCGAGATTTCCTTAGATAAAGCGGCAAGTGTAGAATTAGACAGACAGACAGCCAAAGGGAAAGATAGACAGACGGATAGACAAGCTGGTTGATGATATACAGAGGGGCAGACGTACATGCAGATAGATAGACGAACATACAGACATGTGGGCAAACAAACTGATAGACAGATTGACAGACACACATGCATATAGACAGACAAACAGACAGACATACGGACAGACAGAGAGACGGACGGAAACACAGACAGATAACGGACAGACCGACAGATTACAGACAGATACACAGACGCACATGCAACTAAACAGGCGAACAGACGGACAGACAGACAGACGGAGACAGACAGAAAGAAAGATGGACTGGAGACAGCCAGAAGAGCGACAATTGTTCGGATAAAGAGACATGAGGATTTTACAAACGTGAGTCGCTACATAGATAACTGGTCGAACAGACAAACACTCAAAAAAGGAACCAGTGATGTAATAAGGAGTATACAAAGCCATGTATCTTTGCTTACATTAACAAGTCTTTCTGGTGCTTGCAGGGGCTCGTTACCATTGGCCGAGTGAACTCCTTGTTGAGCAAGATACAGATATAGTGGTTCAGACTTGTTGTGAGTATCAATGATTCGTTCAGCCACTTCTGCAAACAATTCTGTTCCATAATGGCCGGTTTCGTTCTTCACAGGCTGCCAAGAAACGAGGATAGTCAGTATTCCGGCAAAAGTTAAGCTCTTTCAAGCCTTTATTGATCAATCAACTCTATTGATCAATCAACTCTATTGATCAATCAACTCAGAACTGTTTTCTCAAATCTCTTATGCGAGGGTTTCGTTTTTTAATCAGGGTGAAAAACTGAGAGTACAAAGTAGTTTCAAATGAGTTCAGATGGTAAGCCGGAATCGCGTTGGTTTCGCCTCGTCTACCTTCTCGTCGTGATCGGGCGTAAAAATTTGCCCTACTTTTTAAACCAATCTGTTGCAAGATTTTATTGCAACTTGGTCCTCCGAGAGGTTTCTTCCACTCAATTCAGGAATATTCTTTTCCAGTTAGTATCATATTCTGGTTACTGTTTTATTTTTGAAGGAAAGGTGGAGTGCCTGCAACCAAATTGGTTCTTTGTGAAATTCACCTTCATGTTATCTCTGAGATCTGTCCCCCATACGTCTTCCTGTGAGGAGTGGTCCCAGTAGTCTTCTTTTCCATTCCAAAATCCATAGTAGGTCTCAAAGCCGCGGTAGGATGGAGTGTATTCCTTTTCGAAGAATCCCAAATGCCACTGAAAAAAAAAACCTCAATAATACGATGAAACGATAACAAATGCCTTTGCAAAACAAATCGGAATAAGCCTTGACGTAGAGAGCTTTAGCTGGTAAACCTATAGGATGCCGTCGATGATAAAAAAGCGAACAATTTGATTGGCTGTGAGACCTATACCTATATCTAAGAATTAAAGCTGAAAATGTAAATTTATTAGCTAAGAAATGTAGAAAAATAAAATAAATATATGAGATGTAAAATTAAAGAGCTTTTGCGAATGAATAGCTCTTGATAGCTTTCTTGAACTATTTACAGACATCGTGTTTCTGCATGAGATTAATAACAGTTTATATTCTTTTAGTTTCTGTTAGTACTTGGAAGGTCATTACAGAGTTTACAGGTGGCTGTATGAAAGGAACGATTCCCGAGCAGAACGAGTGATTTACTCCCACTCCCACTATAATCAGGGCGTAACCCATTATCGGAAACCTACCTTGCCCACGCCATGTGTCCTGTATCCAAGTGCTTTAAGGTACTGAGGGGTGGTAGCCACACCTAACGGAAGACCGTACGGTTGCGTGCCAAATATGGTAGCATGCTGAATTCCTGAGGCAATGTGAAAACACGCGTGAGAACGGTTGTAGATATTCAACGTCAAGAACGTTTCATTTTCTAAGGTATGGTTACTTAATGGTTTCAGATGGAGAGACACGATGTAAACTTAATTTCCTCTGTTTTTCCCTTTAGAGACATGCTAGAAGCCTGTTGGCGCGATAATGGCCGGAGAATGAAAACAACGACTAGACCCAAACCTCCCTGGGTTTCGCTCTGCCGCAACAATGTCGCCTTTTGCCATTTCGCTCCGTTTTTCCAACTGAACGCCTGGGACAGGATACACGCTAGTAAATTGCTTTCCGAACCTATGTGTAATGCATTTTTACATTCCGGCATTTACCTTTAAAATAAACCATCTGAAAGAATAGTCAAATCACCCAAAACCAGGAGTGAATGTGCACAATCATATCGCCTGTGGGGAGCCCGCGGGAATTAGCAGTCATTTATTAACTGTCTCGTCTTAGTCAAGTTTTTTTAGGTTTCATCGACGAGGCAAAGCATACGCGAGAGGTTTGATCGAAAAAAAAAAGCTCTTGTACACTCGAGCGGTGGTGCATTTACGCAAGTATAAGAAATTGACCATACCGTGAAGCTATGTTGCGTGACAAAGTTTCAAGATATCTGATTTTATCCCGAGTCGAAACATAACCACGACTGCCATAAGGACTTAGGAATTTAAAACTTATTATCATTGTTCCTCTTGTGGCCGCAACACAGCCATCGAAAAAAGGCATAAAGCTCTTATTGCCCCCTGGGAATATCCCTACTTCCGTCGGTACCGAGAAATTCGAAAAAAGCGAAAAAAATGAAAAAAGGAGCTTAAGTAAAAATTATCTAATGGTACCTAAATTGACCGGGTGTTTTCCAGTCATGAGAGAGGTCCGGGTAGGAGTACAAATCGGTGATACATAATAACTGTTAAGGATCACTCCACCGTTGGCCAGTTTGTCGATGTGTGGAGTAGGGATCTGGGGCGATCCGTGAAAACTGACGTCATCCCAGCCCTGTAAAGAGAAATCGGTTCAAAACAGTTTCACGCTTTCGCTATGGTTGATCGCATTGAAGGCGGACAAAATAAATTGTGTCGCTGTGTAATTAATCCAACTGATGAAGAGACATGTCTTGACGCAAGAAAATATCTTTTCGAGATCTTCAGTTGGAGTGAAAATGGTTGAAAAATTTTTATTTGAACTGCATGAGTTGCCATACTTTTGTGGAGAATCAGCCCTACTGCGAAACGAATCAACGAAAAAACAACAGGTGTAACTTTTACTCCAGTAAAAACAATACACCACTGTGCAACCTTCCGGCTTAGCTTTGAGGTTTTATACGCCTTGAAGTTCGATAAAATTGCGTCAACAACAGAAACCTAGGACCTCCTTACCAGATCATCAGCGACGATCATGATGATGTGGGGTCTGGGCGCTACCCAGTTTGATTTCTTCCTTTCTTTCTTTCCATACACGTGATGCGAGCCTAGAAGAACTAAAACAAAGCTGAAATGATAAAAATAAAAATAAAAAATTATCAAACAAATTATGATAAATACTACATTCTGATAGGTGTTTCAGTCTACAGGCTAAATTAATTTTTGCATTTGTAAAAATATCCTTAGAGCGCTGTTAGCAGACATGGGAATGGCATCGATCCATCTGGGATTCTAACCAGAAATTGTCAACAAGTGGGAATTTCTCGAAAACTAGCATGTCACATTACGTGCGTTATAACAAATAAATTTGCCCCTACATAATTATGAACAACTGCGTAAATGATTTAATCAATTAATCGAACATTAACCCAGGCATGATCAGCGTAAGTCGCGCTTCAGGATTCAGTAATCGTTGCTATCACGGTTTCACAAGAAAAACGCGCAGTGATGATTAATAAAACATGATTTTAAACTTCTCTTATTCACCGTAGGATTCACATATTTTCGTGTCATTGGCTGATAATGGTTTACATTCGATAAGCTAGAAGTTGAAATACACAAGCATGTATGCGCCGCGGTGTAAAAGCTAACATATATACTATACGAATGCGAGTTTAGCGGGAGTTGGGTTAAACGGCCCTTACGAGTTACAGGTTACACTGAAGACAGACTTATGTATTACTAAAAGTTGCACAAATAAAACAATCCAGCTTTTTTTTTATCTATGGCCTGCATGCCTTATGCAGTCTACGGGTTTCGAGTTATGATACTCACCGCAACAACCTTAGAAAAACGCTCTTCATCCTGTAAAAATGATTGCAAATAAGTTACATCCGATACATTTAACTACTCGGAGATCAACATCGCAGACACAGCTCTCAACTTTTCAATTATACCTCTTGAAATCAATTATTTATTTTGTATTTGTCTATTAGCCGCGCACGAATGGCTTAAAAGCGTAAACAGAAGGCAAAACAACCTTTGAAAACAGGTAACGCTTAAAGAATCTTTTGTGAACATTTTGTTTTCCACAGTTGGCAATGTTTTGTTCTCTTCTATTTTCCTTGAAATTTCCTCTGTATCTGGTACCTGTAAAACACTAAGAACACAGTAATCAAAACAGTCAGCTGCATCATAAGAAACTCTGCTACCATGCGATCGCAAACCATTGGACCGATTTAAGATAAGGAAAAAAAATTTACCCTTGAACTATTTTCTAAAATTGGGCGAGGTTTTGGTTAAGGTGAAAGAAATTTAAAGTTAGAATTCTCAGACCATATAAATACGTTGGGATAAACAAAAACGAATCAATTTTTTTTCGTGTTCTTCGCCGCCCAGTTATTGTCTACATTAAATCGATATTATCACAAAATCAAGATAGATGGTCTCGTGTGTGGAGACATTTGAAAACACCGGGGAGCTGTTAATGCATCCTTAAAGTAACGATTTCAACCTCCGCCCGAGGGCTACTCAGTTTTCAAAGAGTGGCGATTGCTTTGGCTGGTCAGATCCAGACTCGTCCCCGGTCTTCTAAAGGTGCACTGCGGTAAAGTGAGGGAGAAAAGGGTGACGGGAAGGAGAAAGAGACTGAGGCTCTCTCTTGCTTTCTCTCTATCCATCGTACTTTGCGCTCCCATTGTATCAGCGTGTCAGGTCACATCCGCAGATTTGGTTCTCGGGATTTACCTATCACACCGAAGTATATCTTTATAAATTTCAAGGTAATAATTTGAGGTCGCTGTTATCTGACGCTACAACTTTTCCTCTACCCAATCTGAGAATAAAACTCATTCTGCGTCTTTGGATCTGATTGGGCTCAGGGAAAGCTTGACCTTTGAGGGTGAGTTTTGCGACAGACAGCCCAGAAAATTCCACCTCCCTCCCAGATAATTTAAGGTAAATACTTTATTTTGGTGTCTAGCAAGAGAAGATATTTACAAGTTCTACACAATTAATATTATAATACAATGGCGCTTAGGAAAGAATTTAGCATGCAAAAAAGAACAGAAAAGAAAGCTTATGAAATGTGCAATACAAGAAATACGAAATTAATTGAGAAAAATAATCATGAAGTCACCAGACTGTACAATTGAGAATTTTTTTCAGCTGAAAAAAAGTCCGTCATAACTACTTGATGTAAGTCGAAGGAGAATCTATCGCCCCAGAAAATCCCAAACTTAAAATGGCAAGTTGCACGTTGAGAACGCTTCGTCTGTTTTAATTTACAGCCAGCTGTTGAGACTGCGAAATTCTTAAATTTTCACTCAAAAGAGCTCTTGGATTATTACTAAGTCTATGTAGAGTATAATTATCAATTTAATTGTCATTAAAAACATTCGTAAAATTAATCTACATTTTGTGATTAGGCAATGTTTTGTAGTTCACTAACAAACGATTCAAACAGAAAAAAAAAAGATATATTAAGCTATTTTCTTGAAGAGAATGACGAGATTTCCAGTTGAAAGTTTGAAAACTAGAATTGCTCTGGCCTACTTGTTTAAAGGGTGGATAATGCTATCCACGGGATAAACCGCCATCCAGCGGACGTGTTTACAAAATGTGTAGCACTATCCACTGAGCAGAAATTTATCCAGTGGATTGGGTTATCCAACCTTCCAACAACACGGGCCAGGATGATAAATAAATTAACGGCCTGAAAAAACACACTAAAACCAAAGGAAAGACGTTATCTGAATTGCAAAATCAATTTAGAGGCTAGAAGGCTCTGCGTAGAATTGATTACAGATTGATTAAGAGAGTCACTCCGCAAAGAAGAAGATCCGAGCAATTTATCGTTTATATCCTAGTCCCGGTCGAAACCCTTTTGAGAGGATGTTTCCCTCTGATTTGGATCTTTTAGTGAACAGCTTCAGGTCTTGCGCGTGGTTCTCATCTAACATTGGCAGGTAGAACTGAGGTTCACAATATTCCTGGAAAAGAAAGAGCAACAACGCCTTGAGATATACGACTTTCCTTTAGTGAAACGGTGTGGGAGAGACGCAAGGCTGACGACAAAAATTCAAGCCACACCTCACTTAACAGTCAGTTTTGCTGCGTCGGTATTCTCGTATTCTCGATAAGAGTCCTCGCAAGTAAAACTAACCACAACACGTTACTCCTATTCTATAGCATTCTTACTGACAATGTCGACACTTGATTGCAAATGATTTCATAACGAATCATACACGATGAATTCTACCGAGCCGTAAACACAGACCTCAATCCGCACCATTTTAACGCGTTAGCAATCAAACCAATCCAACGAGACATCAACAAAATGTCGCTAACCTTGCATTTCGCGAAGAATGCTTTGTAGCCGCCTTCTAAGAGGTACAACTCAGGGTAAAACAACTTTGGATATACATGGTAATGAAGATCACGGTCCCTATTCCGCAAGTAACGAGACCTGGAAAAGAAAAACGGTACACGTTTTGTTAAGTTAAAAATAGTGAGTTTCCAAAGGAGTATGGAAAATGATCAACTTAACCAATCGCGACTTGGTCACTTTCCCGCGCTTTTGAAAGCGCGGGAAGACGACACAGACGGTTCATTATCAAGATCACCATATGATTGAACCTTCAACAGCAGCGTTCTTTTGACGCAGACGAGCTCACGCTTCTGTTCTAGTATTTAAATCACTGAAGTAAAGATTGCCACTTAAAAAAAAAACGCACTGAAACAGTACTCACATGTCTGGTCCTCTCTTGGACGAGAATTCACAGTGAAATATCAAAACTGTTTTCTTTCCCGTTAAACTTCTCTTCGGCTTTTCAATGAATTCGCTGTAAATATCCTCCTTACTGTAAATATTTTTCGCACCCTATGAAAAAAAAAAGTGAAATATGTTTACGCTCTTGTCAACTCGCGTGTTGACGAGAAGTGTTTCGTGACATGCGCTCTGTACGAAATAGAATTACGAGTATGCTGAGAGAAGTGGAATCTGGGAGCGACACGATCTTACAGAGCCTTAGAAATTACCTTAAGGACGCAAAACCAAGGCACTATACAGAGGACGAAAATTTCGTAGTGCGCCTAAGGGTTCCTACTCGATTTTTTGTATATAAAATTGAAGACTTTTTCCTAACGTATTTCCCTATGTATTCAACTTTTCAGACTAGAGAATGTGTCTAACATTACAGGGCGTGAATAAAGTAGCAGTTGTCGAGGAGACAGCTTCCAAGGTAAGAATTCTTCGACTGCACCATCAATGTATTGACTAAGGTGAATTACGAAAAATTTAGCGACAAAAAAGTATATCTTACGAGTACTGAATAGTACTTCTTGCCGCATTTTCTTAAGAATTTCACTTCAATTGCAACTGATTTCCTTAATTGTATCAAGAACAGTTAAAAACTCCATACAAATGCCGTATTTTGTGCCTTTCCTTATGTGGTACTTACCTTAATGTGACCTCCATTGTACTCGTAAGGGTAGCGACAGTCAATGATGTGAGCCTCCACTTCAGGAAATTCATTATCTAAGACACGTGCAACCTGAACGAAAGGCACGGATGGTGTTAAAACGAATTCCATTTGAGTGTTGTGAAACCAACACCAAGCTACCACAACAGCCATTAGGAAAAGGTGAATTCACAGGTAGCCAATGAGAATTCAAAGTTAAAACAGGTAATCTGTCTAAAGCGCGGGAAAACCACGCTTGTAACCAACGCTTGGTCGAGAGTGTTGCCTTTTGACAACTATGTTATCTGAGAAAAATCTCCGGGGAGATAGCGTGCTTTCGGAATATCAGAAAAATATCGCGTTACAAGAGTTTTATAACACACACAAGACAGCAAGTGACAGTGTTTAAAACTTTTTTCGATTAATTTCAAAACAAAGTGATAAATCAAAAGAATACCTGTAATTAATTATACTTTGTTTTCAATAAGTCTTGAGTTTTCTCTTCCCCGTTTTTGCTTCCTTTCACCGATTTTTCATGAATGTTTCAATTTTTAATTTTTAGTATATTTTGCGCGACGGTGATTGTTTCTTATTTTCTCCCTGTAATTTTGAGCGAGAAATTGGCACACGGCAGGCCAGAATTGATCTACTTCTCAGAAACGCAGCCTGACACGCTGTGTTTCTGAGAGAGAAAGCTTACACGTCTGCCTGGTGTATAGCAGAAATTCAAATTACCGTTTCTGGAGACAAACATTTCAAGTCTTCATGTTGTCCTGGTATCAACGGTAAAGTGTATGGCTGTAATAAAAACAAAAATAGAAAACAAAACAAGCTTATTGAGGAATCACAATAGAAAAAATACAAAGGTTTCACAAATAAATTATCTTAGCAGATCAGTGCTATAAATTTCGGACTAAAAAAATAAAGAATGAAAATCTCTATACTTACCCCACTAAAATCTGCAACTAAGTCTTTGTTAGCTGCAGGAAGGCAAAGAACAAACAGATAAACTCGTTAGCTTAAAATAATCTTGCTCGTATTATAGGAAGAAGATCAAAAGTATTTTCAAACGTTACAGAGCAGCCTTGATAATGACGATTGTACAGCTGTTTAAGTTCATGTGTGCTTGCCTACACGGAAGCAAGATGCGATGTGGGAGATTTTCAGACAAAAGTGAAATCTTTGCGACATGAAGCCTCTTGTTATATGTTGAAATACTTCACAGACTGACGAAACTTAAAGAAAAAAGTGAGATGAATGCTGTACACGAGACAAAGGAAAAAACTGAGTCTCCTGTGAAGACGTGCGCCCAAACCTGTTGCAATTTTGCAATCAGTCTCAAGCCAGGGTTCAGCAAGATACATGACTTTTTTTTTGGTTTATTCAATGGGTTTTCCACAATGACAACCCATAATGACATTAGAACTTACTTGATGCATCCAGCATGTTTCCCAGGTCATGCTCAAATGTTGCAGACTGCGAGCGCCGCATTTGGCAGGTTTGACCTTCACTTGGTGTGATCTGAATTGATGTTAGTTATAAAAATACATTGAAAATGGTCATTAGACATAAATCTAAGAACTTACAAAAAAATACTTGGAATGCATACTTGTCGCACACTGCAGGACAAAGATTTGTAAACATTTGCTGTTGTTTAAAGGCTGTTACAGGGCGTGAAATTAATCTTTTTTTTCCTGATAGCCGCTTGGCTCCTAAATTTTTTAGAGTGGTAGCCAATTCAAAAAACGTTCGTCGCCATTTTTAAAGACAAACAAAACCTTTTTTTACGCTGTCAGCGATCTCGATAAACCCTCCAAAATTAAGTTTGGAAAAAGATCTTTGACTTCTACAGAGTGGACACTAGGATGGATGATATACAAAGTTCAAGCTCACCTAAACCCAAGATGGCGTCTAGTTATCGATCGAGATGCGCTACGTTTTGGACATAAACTTAACGAAGAAGTTTGCCGCGGATTTATCTTTGCAAACCTTTTTAATTCATTATGTCTCTAGGTAAGGTTATGATGAAGCGTTCTAGTCGTCAATTTGGCGACTGATTTTCAGGATTTGGTCGCCAAAGTGAAAAATTTAGTCGCATTAGCGCCTGTACTAGGCGCAATTTCACGCCCTGTGTTATTGTGTTTTGAAATTTGGTCACATGAAAGGCACATCGGACATATTTGAAATCAGTTAATATCGTAGGAAAATCACTGACATAAAGGCATAGCAGAGTAGTCAACAGTATTTTAAAAACTAAGTAAGGTAAATAACTGTTTGGAATAATGGTTACAGAGGGAGATATTAAAGTGAGAGCATCTTAATTTACCTAATTCATTTATTCTTCAAAAACATCACACCATTGTGAAGCAATAAAAAAGAAACTTTTTTGCCCCATCAAAGCTTTCAAATAACGTTACAAGCAAGTCATGTGGGCAGACATCACACCTTAAGTATCTTTGACCAATCAAAACGTACATTGAGCACCACAGCCCAGATCTTCAACGATAAAAATTGCTATCTATTGGACAAATTACTCCGTTACAAACTGTATGTCATACATGTAGTATGTTCTGTTTACACTTAACCACTCAGTAAAAATATATTCAGGTGAATACCATTATCCAGCCTTTGAACAAAGGAAAAAAAAAAGTAAAGCCTTTATACAGGCCCAGTTGGCCCATGGGGCCAGTACTTGACTCCCATTTCATTAGCATGAAGTGGCTAGGAGTATTGCTACTCCCCTCTGGATGGGATGCTAGTCCATCACAAGCCACTGGGCTTGAACCTGAACCACTCGATCCGGAGTTGAGTGCACTAACCATGAGACCACCGCGCCTCCACACATGAACAAAGAAAGCCTTACTTATAAACATCAATACATATACCAGTTCACTCACCATATCAAGTCGCGATGGATGGACACCCCCTTCAATGACAGACATACACCTTTGCCTTATGAACAGAAACAAAGCAAGAATAAGTACATAATTGAGTGTGCAGAGCTGTCAAAAAAAAGCAGGTAGCAAGCCAAAAATGACAGCTAGTCTGCTATCTTTAACACAGGACGAAATTGCAAGAATCCGTAAACGGAAACGTGGCAGAAACATGTTAATCCGTTCCGGAAACACGACGGATAACCTGTGTTTCCGTTACCGGTTTCGTGACGTTTTCTCGCGTTTCCGTTGCTGTTTATACAACGGAACCGGACCACTTTTACGTAAACATAACGGAAACATGGAGTTGCATGTTTCCGCCACGTTTCCGTTTACGGATTCTTGCAATTTCGTCCTGTGTAATCCCCTGCTTTCACTTCACTTTACTTTACCATAGCTACTGATGAAAAATCATACAATTATTTTAAATACCATAAAAAAAAATTGCACAGCAGTCATTTTCCAATTTTGGGTGGAATCTACTTATAACATGTTTAGATGACCTTGTGTGAATGAATTTTTCATTCAGAATTTTCTCAAAGGTTCATGCAACCTTCATCAAATGCCTGGGAAATTTTAAGCAAATACTTCCTAGCCTTGTGTAATCTGGCTGGAAAAATGCAAATAAACCCAATTGCCCACTTTTTCCTCTTTGCCTTCTACTTTGATATCAATGAAACTTATTGACAGCCCTAAGTACATGTAAATTTTATACAGAGGAGTACAATGCATGAAGGAGTAAAATTTACTTAAGTAAGAATAACAGATCCAATCATCAAAAGTTAATCATACACACCTTAGCCTTTTCTTGAGATTAGGACTTGGGTCTCTTGGATGGTTTGGTCTCTGATAGATAATTAGGGAAAAAAGGTAAAACATATGAATTTATGAGCAAATCATTTGTTTCATGAATGTTTCAATCATTAATCTCACCATAAACCATACAATTAAAGTCACTTTCAATATTTATTACAGATTAAAACATTTCGACTGCTAAACTGCCATTCTTCATCATGCCCAAAAAATCCCCTTTCTTTCAATCTTTACTGTATCTCCCTGTACTATTTTGCCCTTTTTCCCTCTGTTTACACAACACTAAATGAGGAAAAGGGAGTATTCTGACAGCCATGCCCTCCACTCCTTGAAAGTGGTTACACAAACATAATGTGTACAATAATTCTGTCATGGATTGTAGGCCATGAAACTAAGTTGTCACAGATAACACAGTACCTTGAGAGCTAAAGATTTTGACTTCTGTCTCATTGTGCATCGTTCTTTTGTTGGGCTCTCTGATGCGACAGAGTGAGCCCTGTCTCTTCCAGCATTAAATAAGTCTCTAGGTTTATAACCAGATTCTGAAGCCTGTCACAGAGAACAAAATAACGTTATTGTCTGGACACAGGTAATCAAAGGTATTTTAAGATTTAGTCTTTAAATCAAGACTGACTTTCATAGCTGTTGGATCGGATTCTCTTACTTAAAGTGACCAGGAGGAATTAGGAAGGCCTCCCTGAGGTGCTTGTTCATCCCAACCTTCTTTCCCCCCCTGGACCTTCCTTAAAAGTAACCACATTTCTGATAATTTATGGTAGGTATGTCATGTCTGTAATTGAGTGAAGTGGCCTACCCAGCCACAGCTTATCCCAGTTTCTGCTACATGAAGCAATTGGGAGTATCACTCCTACCCCCAAGTGTTTTGTTTAAGAAAACAACACAGTGACCCGGCCAGGTCTGGAACTTAGACCTCTCAGCCCTGAGTTCAGTGCACATACTGGGCCACTACATCTCTTGATTTATGACCACCCATAAAATGTTTCCTTTTTTGGGAGGGAGAGGCACTGTGAGAGGAAAGTGACCTGCCTGAGAACACAACACAATGACAAGGACAGGTTTCAAACATGGATTATAAAATCAAGAAAACACTCAGATATTACCACAACACCATTACATTTTTCCACGGAAGGACAAGAAGGAAAATAGATTTGTAATATTTTTTGTAACATCATCATAAGCTGAATTTCAAAACTTTGAAGAGAAAAGAGAAAACAAAATAGGACAAAGACTGGTAACTAGGAAGAGATTGTGGAGGGAGCTTGGACTGGAAACAACTCCTGTCAATGAAGTTCTTAACACTACACACAAAACACAATAAAAAATAGTATTTCATACCTTTGGTGTATCATTGGTGGACTTCCTTGAATCATCAGCCTCCTGTCATGATAATATGAGCATTGTACAGTGTATTAAATGCTTACTAAGTAACTTTTAATTAGTTAGTAAGAGACATGCAATCAATTTGCCTCTTTTTGCCATGCAATATACCAATAATAATCTGAGCCTGTGGCAAGGGTCTTTAAATTATTGTGTTTTAAAACCACAAATTTTTAAGCAGTACAAGCTATAAAAAAGTGTCAGTCCTAACATAAAGATTGAAATGTCTTTGACAATGGCCACAAAATTTTTTTTCAGCCAAATAACATTACTGACAGATGTAATTCTATTATATTCTGCTGGCTAGTGATACATGTTACAGTAAGAAAAACCTTCTTCTGGTTAAATCGTACATGTTACAAAAAGAAAAAAGAAAAAAAAGAAAAAGAACAGACCCACAAACTTTCACATAACAAACCTCATCTTTAGTCACCAGTGGCCCACTAACAAGTTCTGTAATTCCAGATGGAACCTCTAAGCTATTTTCCTGTGAACAAGATAAAAATAGATAGGACTGTTTTGAATTTGTTAATATATGCTAATGTATCTGGCCCTGGTTGTTCAAAGGTGGATAACACTATTCACTGGATAAATTGCTATCCAGTGGATAGTGCATTACATTTTGTTCACAGTTATCCACTGGATAGTGATCTATTCATTGGATAACATCATCCATCCTTTGAACAACTGGGCCCTGGACCATAGTAAACCACAAATCAAGCAAGGTTGAAACCATTATTATTAGAAATTATCAAGGCCTCTCGTGATAAGAGTGCTTGCCTCCCACGGCTGTGGCCTGGGTTAGATTGCAGGACCTGGCATCTTGTTGTTGGTTCTTGTCCTGGCTCCGAGGGTTTTTCTCCACATCCTCTGATTTTCTTCCCTCGGCAAAAACTAACATTCCAAATTCCAATTTGATGCAGTGGACAGGAAGAGCCACCATGTGGAAAATCCACTGCTAAATTTATTATCATCATTATTATGTACCTCTTTAGACTGTTCCTGGACAAAGTCATCAATAAATCCATCATCATCACCATCTAATTTGAAATCAAAGTCTCCTTCACTATCTTGACCATCACACTCAGATGGAGAAGGTGGGATATGCAATTCCTGTGACTGCACCTAAGAGCAAAATATCAGATAAAAACACATTTGACACAAGTTACTAACAAGCATATGAACAGCAATGAAGCTGAAGTTTTCCAGATGGGTAGGAGGCAAAATTTGTTCAGTTAAATGAATTTAGCAGATGATCAAGTCTGTATGAAGTTTGCTAAAAAGTCTAAAATTTCAGCCGAAATAGCAAGGCTGAAATTTTAGACTTCAAACCCAGTCTCCATTTAAGTAACTGATATGCACAATCTCCACTTAATTATAATAAACAGGAGAAACCAGAAAAAGACTTACATTTGCATTCTGATCAAGCATTAGAAATTCAATTTTTTAAGTGAATATGTTCCGGCGTACAAAAATACAACTAGTTCCACTTTTCATTTAATTTTGAAAGCTTATTAGAAGAGGTGCTTAGAATATAAAACTCTAGATGACCTTGGATGCAACACCTTCTCCCCCTGTTCTAGATGAAAATACAAGACAAATTGGGAGGAGAATCTAAAACTTTAAAAAAAGTCAATTAGGTCTTTTTTAAAGCACACCTTCAATGTTTCCTTTACTTCTAAATCAATGAGACTAGAATCAGTCACACAGTTTGTTGAAAATCCAAATTATAATACACAAAAAAAAGAAATCCCTTTCCAATTAAACATGATACAAATGGGAATGATGGAATGCAAGTGTAAATGTTTCAGGACACACTAAAAGGAGGCAATGTTCTGTTGTTCTTAAACCGGGTAGTTAAATTAAGTAAAAGGTTAACATAGTTTAACAAGTTGTCTCCACCAAAAATAAGACAAAATGTAAAGATTTTACCCTAGGTGATGGTTCAGAAAGAGATCTTCCAGGTAAATTATTAGCTGATAATTTCCTTCCACCAACTGGACCCTTTGGTCGGGCAAACTTGAAGTCTCTGTTTTCCAGGGTGAAAACACTTCCTGCAGACTTTTTATCAGCATCTTGGACTGCATTAAAGTTTAATTCGATGTTCTCTTTGTTTTCAGCATAAGGATCCTCTTCGGTTTTGACCTAATTGGCAGAAGGTGAATTATTTAAAGTACCACATAGAAATCAGCAGTAAATAAGAAGGAAGTCTTGGCTAAAAAAGAAATGATTACAAAGTGGACCACAATCATTGGCAAGATGTGTTTTTGCTCAGTACAATATTTGAATCCTTTTAGCACTTGAGCATCTGTTTGTTACTGACATTTAGCTATTGAAATTTACTTACTGGCAATGAGTTCCACCTCTTGAATGAAGGTCTTCTGTAGAAACAATGGAAACATTTTTCAACAAAAATTCACAGCTTCAGTGGGTTTCTTTGAAATCTTACATAGTGTTCTTTTCCAGAGAAGCTTCCCTAATCTAAGGGAAAAACTTGCTGGTAGGGAGAATGACTATTTGCCCTTCAGTCAACTGAAATATTCGTCTCACTCTACATGTGAGATCAGAAAGTACACTCTCTAAATTCAAGAAGATACTTAAACTTTATTATTTTTTTTTTTAATGTAGTATAGCTTAGAAATGTAACTCAACATAGCTAGCACAGGACATTTTCCATAATTTTTGTACTGTAATTTGTATTGTGGAATTGTTTGTTTATTTTATAATGATATATAGACATGTTTACATTGTTTATACAGGTTCCCAATTAAACCAACTTCAAGCTATTTTTGCTCGCATGCCATTGGTTTAAGTGAATCACATGACCAAATATACCCTAGCTAAAACTGGGGAATATCCAGGGATATACCCAAGTGATATTCCTCAATTTTCAAACCTTACCACCTGCATGATAAGTCTTACATTAAAGTATAATTCAAGACAAGGGAGAATTTTGTAGTTGTTATAGAAGAGGGGACATATTTTTTTGTTCATTCAAAAATTAGTACCAAAAGACTCAGAAAAGTAAAATCCCACCCAGCCAATGGTAAGCTGTTTGTAAACATTTTTCTTCCTGCATGTTGCAAAATGTGCTAAGGATAGTAAACACAGCAGTCTACATTTGGTGCAGAACTATGCTCATAAATAATTATCCTTGGACATTAACAGTTCTTCATATCTCATGGTTTTCCTCGAGCTTTGCTCTCAGAAAAAACTGTTCTAAGCAAGTTTTCAAGCCAAATGGAGACTATTGTTTATTTAGTTGAATGCCCTAAAACTGATATGAAGTAACTTGCAAGCTATTCGACATTTTGCATAAAAGGCAGAGCCAAGAAATTTTAGATTTCAAAGTGAAAATACAGCTGACGAAAAAAGGAACAGACACACACATGTATCAAATTTGAATTTCCCTCCCTCTGTCCTTGGACTTGACCACAAAATATGCCCTTGGTGTAACCACAGATTGATCGTAGCCCAAATGTATTCAGCTTTTTTTAATTTACCAAATTTCCCTAACAATAACAGTACACGTGTGCCGACGGAACAGCTGCGTCGAAATTCATGACTTTAAATGATCTGACATTACAGAATGAAGGAAACACGTGCAACCCACATTAAGGCTTAAAACTTAGTCTACAAGACGGATTCTAAAGGTTCCTTCAACAAAACCAGGTGTTTCCAACAAGATTCGAAAGGAAATCTTGCAAATTGTCCACTGGGCTTTAGATAAAAACAAAACAAACATCACACCTTTGCTTTTTCTTTTCGGCGTTTGCCCTTGGAATAGAAAGCAAAAGATAAGTATCAAACTGTAAACCTATCAAAAATTTCCGAAGGCGAGGAGGAACATAGATATGAAAAGCGAACGTGCTAAATCACACGAAAGCCGATGAAGCACTTTGCGAGACTTCAAAGACGGAAGAAATAAAAGGCACTTGAGTTTTTACTGGTCAAAATCAACGAGTAAAGTCTGCAGTGCAAAGTAAATGCACATCACGTTTTAGGTTAACAGGTTTTGAAGATGTCAGAAATATCAAAACCTCAAACCTAAAAAATACCATCAAACACCACTGTTATAGTTGCTTTGCAAAATTGTATTTGACTTATTAAAGTTTTGATTCAATTCTACAGGAATCAATCGATAAGTTCCCGCATTCTTTTCTCTTCTGTAAAACTCCTTCATCGTCTTTATCTTTCAGACGTTAGTCCATGTTTAAGCGATGGAACCAATAATATGAAAAGGTTAATTACATTTCCACAGGAAGCTTTGTTCACAAGCTTAGTTGTTGCATGAACTGATTCAAAAATTACACCAAAAATTATGCTTACTTTAGCATTTCCGTCGAAGGTGAGTCACATAAAAATCCTAGCGGAGAATCGGGACAGTAACCTAAAGGAAAGAGTACAGTGATGACTGCCATGATGATTCTTAATTTTGCAAGTAATCAGAATGTATAAGCTTTATTGTTTAGCAAAATTCTTTCTAGTACCTGACTCGTTGGAAACTGTCGAAAGCGACCTCTGAAAACCCGTGGTTGGCGTCGAAGGATCATTTAAGGACAAAGAAAGCTTTCTTTTGGGAGTCCTTCCTAAGCTGCAGAAAAACAGGGAAATAACTTTGATCGTTAAATCATGAAATACAACATGTTATATCAAATCACGGCCGTTCGAAATGCACGTCCAGTGCCGCTATGAAATTTACACGAAAGCTTGCATCGCGCTCAAATATTCACAGAAACTATGGGTCTACCTGTTCTCAAAATTCAATGTTAACTCTGCTACTGGAGAAAGTACAGCATTAGGAGCTACATCCAGTGAGTTTTTTCTTCGTGGGATTTCTAATTCGAGGTAGCTTCCAGCTCTTGGTTTCATCCCGGCCATATTGGAAATTGACGATGGCGTCCTGTAGTCGTACCTGGAGTGCACAAAACGGAACTTTTCGAGGGAGAAAACAGCCACGTGCGGCTGTTTAAGTGTCCAGAAAGAGGATAAAAGATAAATGGTGATTCTAAACTACTGATACATTGGGTTGGCGAGAAAGTAAAGAAGACGGTGAAGTTTAGAGGTACGACTTTTCAAACTTTCCCCCGCATTGCATGGTGAAAACATTATGCTGCTTGTCAACCAATCAGATTGCAGGAATTTGCGTCTTTTTGTGGTTTCCTGGGAATCTCATTTTCGTTTTCCCGCTCCGTTACACTTCCGGTGAGCCTCGAGTTGGAACACTCGAAAAACGAGCGTGAAACGGAAATTATAGATACAAATTCTGATGCGTTTATACGATCAGGAGCCGTTTCTTTCGTTTCCTAAGGAAATTTTTGAGTTTTCCATGCCTAACGAAAAGAAAAAATAACAACAATAACGATAATACCATAGACCAGTTCATAAATGATCAATATTTCTAATTACGTCAAACAACTCTTTGCGGTTTTTCAGTGCCTCATAATTGAAAACGATTGGATCGTCACGAGACAAGAAAATGAAGACCGCGAGATTTGAACTGAATTGCTTAAGATTGATTCGAATTTGTCATCATTTCAGGCTCATGATTTGGTCATGATCAACACGTGCACGGCTTCCAGGGGAGGGAACAATTTTACAAAACGGAAACAGTTTTCGTGAATTTTGAAATTTCTACTTGAGTTAATGAAACGAAATTAGGGTCTCTCAAACAATAAAACATGGAAACCGTTATATCCCGATGCCTGTGGTTAAATGGCTCGCTATGCCCTCTGCAACGCTTCAAACTGCATTTCAAACGTAACTTTCTCTTCAAAGACAGGGGTATTAGTGCAGTTGAACCTCGTTTAACTCGAACTTCCAAGCGAGACAAAAAATGGTTCGGGTCAGCGAGGATTCGAGTGAGGTGATAGTATTAAAATAAATGAAAAATGTTTCAAGGGGAAAATGATCTTGTTTGAGAGTTTACGAGTTCGAGGTTAGATGACCATTTGGAGGTTTTATATGACGTACGACGCTAAAGCTGCTGATATACCGACGGCGCATCCCAACGCTGAGTTTTTGTTGCCTTGCTTACAAGTTTGAAGTGCTCCAAAGGCGGGATTTTAGAATGGAAGGTTAGATTTATTCTACTTTCGTTTATTGTTTGCTTAAAAGAAAGGAAAAAGAAAACAGTACTTCAATTTTTTTTTCGAAAATTTAGAGCTGAGTACGTTAGTTCTTTGTATTTTGTTAAAGCTAATTGTCTTTGTTTTCGAAGAACTTTTGATTTTGACCACGTGCTGTTCGTACGAGCTCGCAAATATCTGGAAGAAAGACGTAAATTTGTTCTTGCTTACTATAAACCTATAATTATATAATTCTGAAGCATTCTCTCCTTTAAAGCAGCATTAAAGGAAACTAAGGTACTCTCTTACTCAATCATAATTGCTTGTTTTCGATTGTCTTTTGTTGTTCATTGTGTAGGTGACACTGTCTACCGACCCACTCAGAGTTCTGAAACCTATTCGGCTACTTATTGGTACGCAATGACGCAAAACTTGGTGAAGTCCTCAGAAGACTTCACTATACACTCCATACATGAAGATGAAGTCCGTCACAACTGTTCTATATGCAAAAAATCGTTCAAATGCAAATCTGAACTGATGCGGCATCATCGTGCCCACACGGGCATTCGACCGTTTATGTGTAATCTATGCTATAAAAGCTTTAACTACAATAGTGCACTCCTGGAACATTTGCGTGTGCATTCTGGAGAAAAACCATACCAATGCAGTGAGTGCAAAAAGTGTTTTAGACAAGGGTCAACTCTCAACAGACACAAAAGGATACATACAGGAGAAAAACCACATCAATGTGAAGTCTGTGGCAAGTGTTTTTCTGAGAAGAAAGGCCGCGATGTTCACAAAAGGACCCACACCTGTAAACAACCATTTTATTGTTCCAAATGCCATCAGTATTTTATGCGCAGGGCATCTCTGCTCAGACATATTAAGAAAAATCATCTTATTATGGAGTCCAACCCAGGCTGTTTAGATGATGAGGCCAAAAAAATTCAGAGACATGAAAGCACAGCACCACAAGCTGGATCTACAGAGGTAGTAGTTAAAGTGGAGAGACCAGATATTGAGGAAACGAGTCTTGAGATGCTGATAAAGGATAGTGACCTTTTGAATGATTTGAATTACCTCAAGGAGGAGGTTGTAAACTGATTTGAACAGAACTTTTTAGCTTTCTCCCTTGTTTCAGAGAGACATGAAAAACTGTTAGCACTTTGATTTGATTCTGACAGGTGAATAATGTGGTCTGACCTACGAGTGTCCAAGAATTTCTGTGGGACAACTGCAAAGCAACATAGCACGATGTTAATCTTAAGTTTAATTGCAGGCAGAATTGGAGAACTCAAATTCTGCCACCAATTAATCAAACTCTGAATATAAAATAACCTTCAGTGGAACAACTTCATAAATAAAAACAAAGAAGTTGAGTGTATTTTCAATGAGACCTCAAAGTCTGTTTCCATCATTTGAACAGTATTTACTAATTATCATTGAATACCATAGCTTAATATATGTTATGATCACCATGTTATGAACATTATTATATTTACGTAACTTTGTATTTATAAAGTATTTAATGTAATTCTTTATCTTGTTGTCTTTCCATTCATTTTCATATTTCTAGATTAACCTTGCTAGCCTTCTAGGGAATCCTAGCTTGGGAATCCTCTTCCTGTTATGAGGTTCTCTTCAGTTAAACAAACATACTTATATATAGATTTATATGTTTTTAACTGAAAACTATCCAAAAAATAAACTCTCTTACATGTACACCACAAAACAAAAATGCATCTGTCCAATTGCTCCTCATGGTGTGTACATTGCACTATTTGTGCTCTTTCATGCATCCGATAACCATTCATGTGTGCACATTTTTTTTTTCAGTTTTGATCAATCATGATCAATTTTGTGCTGATTCTAAAATTACTTCCAGTCTTGCCATCAGAGAGATGGAAATTTTAATGTGATGTTTTATATGGAAGAAAAATGCCAAAGGGAAGAGCAGGCAAGAAGGCCCTCATTAGTAGATCTTCAGCACGAGCGTTTTCTAACCTGCGGGAAAGTAAGACACTATATGCGATTTGAGTCAGTGGGAGGTCTGTAAGGGGTCTGGCAATCACTATTGGCAAATTCCTCCCAACTCGTCTCAAATCCTCCCGCTGACGGAGAAACGCGCCACCAACAGTACTAAAAGTGAAGGCCTGGTCTGCGCTAAAGCAAAGAGATTCAACGAAAAAGGAACGATAATACCACGGAATTGTGAAGTTTGACGTAGACTGAAGACAGTGAACTTGGAAAATCTTGGCTAAACTATTTAAGGTTAAAAAAACCTCTCTCCAGCTCCTTTCAGATAATCACACGTATTGTCAGTAACATAGAGATCAGTCTTTTGAGCATATTTCAGAATTCAAATGCTTTACTTGTGAATTTCAACCGTGTAAAAATACGATAAACAAATAAGTAGATAAATAGATAAATAACAAAGTGATCGCCGGAAGTTTCAATTCTCTGAACACGAGAGAGGGCCGTTTGAAATAAAGCACTTGATTGCCGGCAAATTTGCCTTTAAGAAGCTGTAATCTCGCCCGTTTCTTATCATATTTGACGCGAATGGGCTTGAAATAAAGCGGACCTCGTGTGTTTCTCGATACAATTTTGGGAGGACTGTTCCCAATGTTTACGTAACCCTTAAGTTTTGATTCTAGTTTAGAGGAAGGACCAGGTATGGCGACTCCACCGTAGCCTGAAATCTGTAAACAGAGAGGAGTAAATGGTAAAGTGTGAGTTAACTAATAACCTCTTTTTGGCGGATTCTGTCGCGCGATTGATAGAGGATAAAAAATATCGATTTAAGCGCGCCGCGCGGAACTATTGGAATGAGGCGCATGAAAAAATATCGTTTTTCCTCGAATAAGTGCCCACTCTCGAAAAAGCGTCCTTCCCCCGAATAAGCACCCACCCCTTAGGGCCAAAATGTTAATTAAGCACTACACCCAATGAAGCGCCCCACCCCCTCCCTCACTGTCTCAAATTAGAAGGGATAAGAAAAAGCCAATTTCTATTGCTAATTAATCTATAACTTTTAAACCTTCGACTATTGCCGAATCAGTAGAGGAGAACAGTTTCTTTTCTGATCCAGTTATTTCTATCTCCATGCGCTTTCAGAGTTCCTCTGTGTGTGTAATCTGTCCTTTTAATTTTTGTCCAATAGATGCGCTCATAACAAGTGCTTCCTATTTGAAAGGTGAAATTTTTTACGCGCGTTTGGGAATATGAATAAATCTTGCAATAGAGTCCAGTGAGCATGCGCAACGCCTTAATATGGAAAAGCCTATTTTCTTCCCCAGAGTTGTTGTTTCTATTAGTCACGTGGTCGGAGAAACGACGGTGTGGCTCTAAGGACGGCAATACTAAGTAACTTGTTATCAATACCTCTTGACTTATTTTGCCTCCCAGATGAAATTTTTCGCTGTAAATCACGCTGTAAATAAGATGTAATTCCTCATCCTCCAGACGAGCCATCTTTCTTTTGTCAAGCTCAGTTTCCTGCAGTATATAGTCCAGATCTGGATCTTTGAAATATTCTTGGTCTAATTTCCCCAGCTCCAGTTCTCCCATATCATAGTGAATCTTGACATTACCCTCCACCATGGCTGTTATGAATCCAATGTCTATCCAGCTAAGTGACAGAAGCAAATGACGTCGTCTTTCGGGCATCATGAATTAATACAGGGGAGATTTTAAGCGATACACCACTCACAGTGTGAGCTGTTGACTTTGGAGTCCCTCAGGTTTGTTTGTGGTTGCGTGGCGATAAATTTATCTGACCCCCGCTAAGGCTCTGTAAAATTCTTATTACCCCCTCCCCCTCACTGGCAGCCAATTGCCAGTCAATTTTTTATAGTCCTCCCTTTATACTCTGTTGTTAGTGACGACTATTCCCCTTTCCGTTCCCCCTGAAAAATTTGTGACCCGCCCTCCAAAATCCTCCACACTCCCCCACCCCCCTCTGGCGATAAATAATGGCTGGTCTCCTTCAGTTCCCCCCTGCTTAGTGAGAGGTTATAAATGGGGAAAGGGAGGTGAGCCATTGGAGTTCAAATCTTTAAATACATATAAACAGCAAAACTCTGTGGATCATATAAGCAAGTTAAAAAGTATTACCTTTCCAGAGCTAACAGACGATCTTTTAAAGTTCTCTTGCAATCCACTTCATCCTTATTCTCGACTTTTTCACTAATTATCTCTAAGTTATTTTGTAGTCGTTTTCTTGAGTGAATAAGTTCCAAAAAATTTGTCCTTTTTTCCTCCTTTATATAACTCTCTAGTCCTGCAATAGTTATAAATTCCTTTTTGGCAAACAGCTGCTGAGATATCGGCCTCAGCCTCCGCTTCACCATGAGCACGAATGGTTTTACATCTGAAACAGTGTTTGGACCATGAAGTACGGGATAGTACGTGTAACCAAAATTCAACTTGGCAAATGTTTTAAGAATCTTCCTAATCATCTGAAAAAACAACAACATGTATGATAGATGAGAGTCACTCCATACCGAGTCTTGAGATTAAGAGCGGATTAGAAGCTGTTTTTGATTAAGCCTTTACACCCTAACATCAGTGGTTTGTGGTTTTGCAGCTTGTAAGAAGGCGAGGTAAAGAGAAAGTCTATCTCGTGAGATGTGGCACATCTAGCCAGAACTTATCCCAATTTCTATAACGTGAAGCAACAAGGAGTATTGTTATTTCCCCTTGATACAAGCTTCCCTGACAATTCATCAGTACCCAGTACTCCTAAGTGGAGAAACCCGCCAGGACTCGAACCTAGACCTCTCGACCCGGAGCTCATCACGCCAATCGTTAGGCCACTCAACTTGTAAACAAGTGACTATCTTAATGATGAACATGCAGCCGGTATCGAGATGAGAGCGTTTAAATGAAGCGTGACCAGATTTTAATTTGCAACATGAAACATGACTCAGCTTTAAAATGCTTCGGAAAATGTTTAAATCCCTCTTTGTTCGTTTAAAGATAAATTAACAATCACAAATTCCTGAAGTTCAATGAATTCGTTTGATTAGAATTCTTCGTTGTTTTAAATCTAGAGCGCTACCTCAACCTTCTTGTGTTGCCGACAGATATACGTCTCCGAGCTATGTAATTTTAAGATTTTGGTTCCTTGAAAAAATTGCTTCCCAATTAGTGGGTTCAATGCAAAAATATCACTGTGTCTCACACGACCGCGCAATCAGACTTTAGACCGCGGGAATCGTATCCAAAGAAAAACCAACCAATGTTTTTATTTCTCAGGAATCTTATCTTCCCTAGCTTCTGAACAATGTTCAAGTTCCGCTTTGTCAAAACTAAAACAATATCCCAACGCTTCAAGAGTTGCAAGATAATTTTAACCCTCCAAGGATTAAAACATCAACTTACCTCGGTGTTTATTCGGTAACGAAGCTACCGTCAGATGACCTTTGTATGCCGAGGCAAGAACAACCAAAACTCGCAAGTATTTCTCCAATGTTGGTAGCGTCACGGATCGCAGTATTTACGAGAGTGCTCATGCAAATGCTAATCCTTCTGAAACGGAATAAATTTGAACAAAACGAGCCACAGAAACAGGGAGAGGATGATTTGGTCATGTATATTAGATATCCAAAGTTATTAAAGTCAAGAATGCACAAATCCGTGATCGATTTTTTTAATGTTCATTTTTCACTTTGAGGCTTTTATTGTTTTGTTGATATAACTAATACATTTAATTAGTGTTATGGGTTATGAATGATAAAAACCATGTCGATTCATTTTTAAAATTGATCTCATTTTTGAATCCTTTGAAGCCTTATTTTATTTCATATATATGGATGAGGTTTTAAGTTTGAATTTTCCGTATAGTTGAAGCTCAGTGTGCGAGCGTTGTCAGCCAGGCAAGCAGAGAAGCGTAGCAACTGTACTTGTTATGGAAATGCGACGATAAATCAAATAGCACTTGAGAATGTTTTGATGTTTTTTACTGTTTTGCTGTTTTTCCTTAGTCAGTCAGTTGCTTGATGAATTTTTCTGTTTGAAGTATTAAACTAAAAACCGTAAAGAAAACAAAAGAAAACTTTAAAACAGAAAAAAAACTGAAAGAGGTGTACACTGTGCATAAAGAGGGGAAGTATTGGCTTGTTAACTGATAACTATGGGTGTTCGTGATACAGGCCCCCCTCCTTTTAGGTCATCAACATAAAAGTTATAAAATTCAGCAGATGATTCGACAATTCTAGACACTCCACCTGCCGATCTTTCTCGCCGCGTGAGAACGTGCCCGCTGATTGTTCGCGGGACTTTTTTCGACGTCGTCCCATTGTTATTTTACCTTCATTGTCGAGATCTTTCTGATTAGTTATTGGCTGGTTGATAAAGGCCACCACACCTTTGAGCCTCTCAGTTCACGAGGTCAGCGACCTGGAACACGAGGCTTTCACCAAGAACATCGATCATCTTTTTAGCTGAGTATGCGCAGACATTTTGTTATTCGTGGTATGATGTAAAGTACTGCAATACGTGAAGTTAACACAATCGAGAGGAACTAGTTTTGGTTCTCAATCATAAACAATTTTTTTTAGTGATCCGGCACCCATGATACCGAGATGATAACAATTTCTAACCAGGACTAAAAGATTTTAATGTAAAACAGTAAAAGGATCTTGAATTGAATCAACGTATCCCTGTTGAGCATGCGCAATAGCAGGAGAAAGCAATTCCCTTCTCGGAGGCTGTGATACGTTTTGCCAACGTCAATAGTTCGTGGCAAGAGAGGACATCGTTAAAAAATATATAAATGTAGTGGATGAGCTGCGATCGACACTTTGCGAGCGAGCAAAAATTTTCACTGGTCTGGGAAGGAATAAGAAAGGATTCACGCCGCTCTCATCCGCCTTCCTCCATTTTCTCTCTCTTGTCCCACTTTTTCACTCGCCCCCACAAATATAGATAAGTGGATGCAGTTGTACGTGACTTTAGCTTAAGATCAACAGTTTAATATATCTTTACGTGGCTTTTTGTTTTTGCACCAGACAACAAGCGAGCTTATGTTTATGTGCGCTTTGAGACTGGTGACGAGATATCTCACAGGGCGAAGTTTGCCTTTATTACTTGGATTGGGTCTAAAGTAGACCCTCTTAGGAGGGCTAAAGTCAGCACTGACAAGCAATTCAAGGAAATTTTTTAAGTCAGTATTTGATTATAGATTTTCTTCTAGAGATTCTTTAAAACCTGATCTTTTCCCCTTGTAACTTTCTTTGGCTAAGTTCGCTAACGATGGTGTGAGACTAGGTGCAAAGGTTTACGTCACTTGGTTTACTAATTCAAAACAGACTAAGACTAACAGGTTCCTAACTGATGTCAACAGCTGCCGACACCTTAGGCAGGACTTGTTCACGGCATTTACACGGCAAACGAACCGAGCAGAACAACCGAACATTACCGAAGGATCGCAAATGATCGATCAGGACCGACCTAACATAAACGAGTCTTTCAGTCAATAACGTCACTGCAAAACTGACTAATCAGTTTACGCGAACCAGACCTGCAATTCTCTTTGTCTGTATCTCTTTCACCTTTCTCCTGTCACCATAGGTCTGTATTTCATGGTCTTTATCCGTTTTCTGTTTAAAATTCTAGATCAAGTTGGCTCCCCTTTTTCCTTGCTTTTAAATTTCCTTTCTTTTAACAATTTATTTTATATTTCTTATCTCTGTTTTGTTTTATTCAGGCATTTTTACCAGTCTTTCTGAGATTTCACTGTGTCCTTTTTCTTTGTTTTTGTTTCATTTAAGTCATTTCCTTTATCCTATTCCACTTTATTTACGTTTCTTTTTTTCTTCTTCGTATTCTTTTTTAGCTATTCGACAAGGAAGTCCTGACGAACGAAAAAAAGGAGTTAGCCAATGACAGGATACTGGGAGTTCTTAAGAAAGCAAGTGGTGCCGCGTACAGTTCAAGTCATCAACGGCTGGACCTCTACGTACTGCAATGTCCGACTCCACACGGTATCGAGTTGTTGGAGCCACATACACTCAGGCTTATTTCGCTCGCTTAACAATAAGTTAATTTAATACAAGTCTTAAATGTATTTCAGTGTGTTGGCACCCTTTGGTTGATTCATCAACTTGTCCTTGGAAACAATAACATTGTAAAAACAAAAGAAAACAACAAGTCATGGGTAAATGTTTTGTTTCTGTTTTGTTATTGTTGTTGAATTTCTTACTACTAACTCGAATTCACTTGGACTAATATGGACCAATTTTATTTAAACCATGAACCTACACAATACAGTAGAGACCGAAGATAGTCAGGACTGTGTCACCCATGTAAATGTCACTCAAAAATAAATTTCTCTCCCGAAGAATTTCGCGAATGGCTGGATGTAACTACTGTCTTGAACGGCGTCAGACTTCAATTTCAGCCAAGAGGAAATAACGGTCCCATTTCAGTTTTCACTTGTTTCAGCATCTCATATAGAGACAGCGTCTAGTTCAAGGACGAAACTTAAAAAATCCGTCGTCGGTGTCCTCGTTTTCAGACCCGGCGGAGTTTGGTGATTTCAGGTTATTGTTCTTCAGAAGACAGCTACGAAATGTACAAAGTTTTAAAACGCACGTTTTCTGTGCCGAGACCGTCGTGGTTTGCTAAGGCCCGTTGTATTTCTCCTTCGAGTGTTTAATCCTCATGCCTTTAACCTGATCAATTTGACGTTCTTTAAATTGCGAGATAAATTGGGCTTCGCATCCCTTGTTTTTTTCTTTTTTTACCTTAACGATTAGTTTGCGCATGGTAGCTACATTATAATTACTTGCGTTGAAACCCCACATTCTCGTTCTGTCACTTGGCTCCAATCCTCATGCGACTCGTTTTAAACGGTCAAAAACTCGAAGAATAATGAGAAAACTTGAGGCGACTGCAAAAAGTGACAAAAAAAGTTCGCAAATGGTATAAATTTTTAATGACATGTTTCCTCAGTGATAAGTCTGTTCTGCTGAAGGTATTTATTCGCCTTGTACTGTAGCAAGCGAAAATGAGCAACATTCCATTTAGTTTGGTGGGAGCATTTTATACTATATGGTTTCGGAGAGGGAAAAGACGAAAAAGAAAAGTAAACACCTTGTGAATGATCTGTCTATCACAAACCATGAGAATTTCAGAAGGGGCATCTTGAAGAAAACTTAAGTGGTTCTTACAACCAGAACAATAGTTTATTTCACGAGGAAGTAAAACCACCCAGAGATGCTGGACTCGCGAAGTCAAGAAAGCAAACATTATTAGTTTCTTTTCGCAAAATATTTAACTTCCATGGATTCCGAGATTTTGCTATGTTTCTCCTGAACAAATTTTCAAGAATTCAGGAAATTTGTTCATACAAGAAGTAGGAATTCAGCTGTTTCTACGCCGGATATAGCTTGTGGCCTCTATAACTCGAAGTACGATGTCGACGAGGCGAACACGACGATGACATATCTCACTACGTCCTCGCTCCCAGGTCTCTCTATCGTCTCTATGCCTTCGCTCCTTCCGGTGGCTAGGAAGAGAAAATACTCACAGAAACGTGTTTATGTCGCTGTTGCTGTTGCCTATTCCGTTTGAGTGTCATTTGCTATAACCGCCAGGAATTCCTCCTCTCGGTTGGACTGGGTTGTTAGCTCATCGCTGAGCCTCCATATTTTGATTCGACCTTGTGAATCACCGGTGGCAAGTGTCTGACGCCTAGAAACAAACAAAAAAAAATTAACCGAGGAATATCGACTTTGATGGTTGTATTTCACAGTATGGAAGCCCTCGGCACCGGTTGCAACTTTTCCCAGACTTCTCAGTGGCCACTATAGCTGACTAGCCAGACCAGTTACATTGTTTCCCGCGCTTTTCGCCGTCCACACACTGGTTACTTTTATTTCCCGCGCTTCTCTCTGATTATGTGTTTTCCGAGCTTGGTTTGTCGTTGACTCATCAGTCACAAATTTTCCCGCGCACAGAAAAACAAAATATTTTTATATCGAGCTCCGCTTAAATTTAGTTTACATCGCACACCAACAATAATGACAAAGTAAATTTTTAAAAATTTGCAAGACATGAATAAACTACACAGTAGCTACAACAGAATAAAGGAATACCTTTGAAGGTTGTACTCCAAGGAATATACCGGTGATTTGTCTGTTGTGACATCGAGCGTGACCACTGGGTTGATCCGGTCAACCTAGAGAAAAACAAGACATTCTTACAGCCATTTTCCAAATCGGCAGCAAATTATTATTTTTTAATTCCTTAACCAAAATGGAGACTGAAATATCAATATGGAAGGATAACAAGCAAGAAGGCCCTTTCGGAAAAAGGGTCAATGAGTGTTGTAAAATTTTCCAACAACTACGCTACGTTAGGCAAGAAAATTGGCAGAACATGATAGTCCTCTTTCCAAACGTAATCCGTCCCACGAGTCGAGTGAGTAAAGCGCATTTGGATCGAGTGTCGTATAACCAAAACCATTTGAAAGTAATCACAGCAGCCAATTAGAGAAGAGCAAAATATCACAGAGAGCCAATCAGAACTAAATTCAAAGCTAGCAAATTATCTGGAGAACGCGGGTAACCAAGTCGCGATTGGTTTTAGTTTCAGTTTTGAATCTGATTGGTTGAGAGGGCGAATTGATGGCGCGAGATTTCATGGTCAAAGAATTTAGCTCCCTTGTTTCCAGAAGCACTCTTTTCGAAGTTCTGAATTTCGGGGAATTTTTAATGTTAACAGTAATTACCCAATACACTCACCTTCAAATCATAAATCAGCAAGCGGCCATCCGTAGTAACGACGGAAAATACCAACGGGCGTGAAGGAGACCACCGGACCCTAAATAGATACCCCGCTCCGGGCTCCACTGAAAATAGGGGCTTGGACTGTTTGAAAATAAAGGCACCTTAATTTTGAAGACCGTCCTACACAGGTCAACTTAGAGTCTGAGTACAACTGCTCTGATAAACAGAATAGCTCTGTTTAAAACGCTTCCTTTGGCAGGAAGAAATTAAGTTTACCAGATAAATAGACTACCAGCAGAGAACTTTTATCTTCTGCTTTCTTCTATAAAAAGAACACAGAAAGGCCGAAACGAGTCATAAATTCTCATTTTCTTATGGAACACAGCTTGATTGTCAAATAAAGTTTACAACTGTAAACAAGCGCGCATATTACTAAAATGACTATAAACCTTTCGGTTCTATGTGATTACCATTCCGGTTTTTCGGTTTCGATGAAAAAGTTGACTGTTTTCCATTTTCTAACGGCACCCAGCGCCCCCTCTTACATTCGACAGGCAAATTAACTCTCCGGAAAAGAAAAGAAAATCCTACTTGTTGCCAAAGAAAAATATGCCCTACCTGCAACATGGAGTAGAGCCTAACAGATGCATCTGTACCACAAGTAAGGAAGAGATTCCGGTGATAAGGTGAACAGTCAACTGAAAACACAGGCCCAAAGTGAGGAGAGAAGGCAAAAGTTACAGGGGAACGCAGCGGAACGGAGCTCTGAACATCTGCAAGAAAACGAAAGACAGAATTAAAGAAATTGTGCAATTTTATCTTGTTGTTCATGAACATGGGATAAAGATAAACCGTTCCATGTGCAGCGAGGTCTCTACGTCATGATTGCAAACCAAATAGTTTTCGTTCAGCCCTAAATCACTCCATGAGGGACTGGTCATTAGTTCCCCTATTGTGGGGGAGGGGGTTGGGGGTTGTAGGAGTCTGATTGTGTTACGTGATACCCCGTATGGCTCTGTAATATCACTATAATCCAGTCAATTTTTGTAGTCATCTTATTAATGCAGTCAATTTTCTATAGCCCCCCTCCCCCCTCCGTTTATACTCTGTTGGCGATGACTGATCCTCCTTCCGTTCCCCCAAAAAACCATGTGATCCCCCCAAAAAACCATGTGATCCCCCCTAAAACCATGTGATCCCCCCTAAAACCATGTGATCCCCCAAAATTTGCACAATTACTATGAATTTGTCCCCTGTTGTATTAAGTTGCAGAAAAAAAGATATCCAAAATGATAAATACCATTCTCTAAGGTTTGAATTATCCTTTTACGTGCTTGTGGTGTTAAAGTTTTAAATTAATGATGATCATGAAACTTTTGTTGTTCATAGCGTGTTGACGCAAGTGTTATGTCTATGCGATACACTTCTTACTTGTCACGGGAGGTCCTCTTGATGTCATGGAACATTTAAATACTCCCCCAGCCTCTGAGCCGAGCACAAAAAGAGTGCGGTCCTCATGAGAAAACGACATACTAGTCACTGAAAGTGAAAGGACACGGTCAAATTCTGCGAAGCTTTAAGCACGGTGACCACAACATGGGCGTAGCCAGGATTTTTCAGTGGGGATGGGGGGGAGGGGGGTCGGGTCACACTTTGTCAAACAGAGGGTACTCACCATATTGCAATGTCGACCTCTACGCCGTGTTTAACTTAATGTGACAAAAAAAGGCTTACCAACGTGGAGGGGGACCCCCAACAAATTTCCTAACTACAAAACTTTTGGTTGAGCTTTAGAGTGAGGTAGGTTGGTAGAAACACTAGCTGCCGCTGCCTGATGAAAGGGCTTGTGAATGATTTTTGGTTGTTTCTAAAACACAACTGCAAAAAAAGCAACATGCAACACCTTGCAAATAGTTCCCATGTACAACGATAGACAAAATCATTAAAAACTCTATGTTTGAAGTTAGACACCTCATCGTTTAAGCGCTTTGTTCGAGTACTAACGGAAACAGTATCTACTGGTTTAACTTCAATAACACATATAATACACTTAGGACCCCCAAAAGACGAAGAAAACCCAACAATTTAAAAATATCACCTCCCATTTCAGCATCACCGCGGGCTTTGCTCAACCGCATGCTTCGTGGAACACTGTCTGTCTGTAAAATGAAACCGCCGACTAGTTTGAGATCACGTGAGCCTGGAGTCATCTGCCATACCAGGACTTTGCCATCGCCACTTATGCTTAGGATCTGGAGGCAAATGAAGGTCACAGAACAATAATGGTTAACCTGATAATATCGCAATCATCTGTTGAACCAAAATCCTTTGACGTACCTGATACTTCGTCCCCTTAGAGCTGGAATCTAAAGTCCACAAGACCTGATAGGAAAAAAAAAAGATTATGCTGAGTTAATAAGGAAGAACTCTAGATAATGTGGTATGTTTTTCAAATAAAAACTTTGTTCGCAATTCAAAGAAGTAAAAGATTTTTATCCTGGAGAGAGGAAGGCAACACAGCGTTTGTTAAACAGTATACCTTACTAACGGGTTCCCGGTGTGAATCTGATCCCATTCCTGATGTAGCAAGGACAGTCTCATCCTCTCTTCCAGTGTCCCAAACTTGTATCTCTCCTAAATAATACATGACAGTAACCAGCTAACCTCTGCTAACTATGTTGCCTCTTGATATCATAATGATGACAAATAAAGAAACTAATCGATTAAACGCTCGCAGTTGCGAATGGCTACAAATTAAAAAATCTTTCGACCGTCTTGATCAATATCACTCAGTGGAATTGACATCTCTGCGCCTTTCGTTAACACTCTCAATTATCTTCCATGTTGCAATTCAGTTCCATTTTAAAGCTAGCATTTGTGTTTCTCTTGGTAGATAACCAACATTTGATCGACTGAAAAGCGTTGTCAGCTAATGGGAATTTTGACATCCGCTAATATGGAGATGAAACTCAAAGCCAGCCAATTCGTGCAAGCGGTTTTTTCAATTTTCAGTTCCATTCCTCTCGCGGCGAATCGTTTTCGCATACTTATCGCTAAACGCTTTAAGAGAAGCACCCTTATCGATTACTTCCTGTAAGATTTGCGTAAGGGGGAGGGGGGGTTCTTGTTGACTAAAAGGCTTTAAAACGTTCATTTTCAACCGTTTCGTTGAAATTGTCTCAAGAGTTTTGTTGAGGATTGTAGCACAAATAAGTCGTGGATCGATCTCGGAGATATTAACTACCTTTAAAGGAAGGGATTCTCCAAAGCCTCTCGGGGAGCAAAGAATCGCAGAGACAATAAAGGAGTTAATATTTCACTTTTTAACCAGGATAACCTAGCAAACTACATCCCAAATGTACCATTAAATGATCCTCCAGCGACAACCGATGGCAGATTTGGATGAAAAGCAATACACATCAAGCAACTCTGTTGAGAAAACAACAACAAAAGATAGCTTTACCATAGTTCTTTTTATCATTGCTGCTCCCTCATAAGAGGTTAGATTTATCCTTGACCAATAGACAAAAAAAAAGAACTTCAGTATTGTAGTCTTCTTTTATGGTATATGCACATTACTATGTAAAACTGCTAACTTTTTCAGAAAGCGATCAGAATCTCTAGAGAACCCTGATGTGATTCAACATTTCATTCCCAAGATCTCATTAGTAATTCTCCTTACTGTCTTCCATACAATTCTTATGATGTTAGTTATAAGAATTTGGCATTGAATCAACTAATAATTCCCTGGCTGATATCTCTACTTATTCGCATTACTTGTCTGATGGATATTATATTGGTGCTGTAAGGAGAAAATCTGTCTTAGTCACTCGTGGGAGTTAAGGATTACCTCAAACACCAGCAGGTTCTAGCACCTTTCTGAGTTATTGTTAGCAGAGGAATTACTCATATAAGCTGCAGTACTTACAGATAGATCAATGGTGATATCAGGCTTGTTTGGATCAATTGCTCTCCTGTCAATGTTCCAAGTACACAGGGCAGACTGTCAAAGGAACGACCACATCAGTTGACAAAAATAGAATGGAATCATTTGTGATTAACTAAGGCCTGGAACTAAGAATTGCTCCTGCCCCAATGATTCAATGACCCTGGCCTCGAGAAATGGTTGCATTGTATGACAAAGAACAACAGGAATCTGTGAAGATTACTCTCGTAGTCAATCTTAAGTTGTTTAGAGCTATTTTTCTACAATTTAGTAGGTACGTTCATATGTGACATACATGAAGTAAAACACATTTTGTAATCAACATTTACACACCTTATGAGAGCACCAGTGTTCATGATCAAACCTTCCATAGCTAACATTGTGTAGTTAAGTCGAACTTTTATCTTAATCTTGGTTTTAAACACTTGATGCAAAAATGCTGACATGTAGAAAGCCTTCACCATGAATGATAAAATGTAATGGCTTCACAAGTAAACACTAACATAACAAAATTCGTTTGCATGAGGTGAATGGTGGAAGTTAACCAAGTTTTCAAATTTTAATCATATTCCTCCACAATAAATTTCATACAGTTTTCAACCTGTCCAAGCTGTTTGTCAGTTTTAAGAATGACTAAATATTTCTCTTGGTCGTGAGAATTAAACTTAATGTTAAGGATACGAGACAGCGATTACTGAACCAGTGGAATTCCATGACAAGCCAGTAACCTGTAGCTAAAAAGTGGAGCAAAATGAAAAATTATTCAATTTTGTCAAGCTTTGGTAAGTTACATCCGATAAATAATTTGACAATACTCATAAAGATTAGCAAATAATTGTAATAAGACTTGAAATTTGTTGCAGCACGAGCCCATCTTGATCAGGCTCTTGCTTATAGGAGATCAATGATGAAAAGGTCATGAAAAATGATGGATAAAGCCCAGGGTAATGTAGCAATTTTGCAGACAACTGCCCTCACTGCTTGTGGTTGTCCTGTTATTCTGTCCATCTCCATTGACTTAGAACCTAAAGCCTATAGTAACTACACATGAGATGCTTAGCTAGTTTAACTTTCCAGAATTTTTCACAGATGCTTTAGCAATTAAAAACAAAGAGAGTTTCTTTCCATTAGATGAAAATTGGTTACCTCATCTTCAACTAAAGCTGCATTCATCAATGTATGGGCACATGATACAGAGCTGGTTGATTCATCTATGCTCTCTTCATAACCTACAAGGCATTCAGTCCAATGTAACTATCAACACATAGGATTGTTGGCACGTAACATGAGGAGTTCATCCCTCTTTTTACTGTAACAAATGGCTAACAACATCTCCTCCCCCTTGGATGGTAGTTAGTCCATTGCAAGACACCTACTGGGAGATAGCTTGGATTTTTCAAAGGTGGGGGCGAGGGAAGGGTACAGTAACATATTTCTACACCTCTTAATCTAAAGTAAGTTAAGTTGCAATTCTACTTTCTGTATTAGTGTGCTGGTATCCAAGCAATAAGAAGCACTGACAAGTGAAGTATCTAGCATTCAAAAAGATTTATGCCCACAGGATTCTATGACCAGAACATTTGTGAAAACACTCAAATTATATGTTGATGATTTAAAACACAAATATATCACTATTAGGAAATGTTGTAAGCACCCCAGCACCTGTCTAGCCATGCCCATGACCCCCTTGCACACAGTCTGTTTCCCAAACTGAGACCATAACCATAAAGCTGACAAATGTTCTGCTACAAATCAGGAGTAATTACAAGAAACCACAAAACCCCAGAACTACCACAGTTTAAGCCTGTAACTTGGAAGAAAAAAATTTCCCACTTCACCTTTCTCTCTGAGTAACACTTAATGTTAATGTTAATTAACCCTTCAATTCCCATGAGTGACCAAGACAGGATTTCTCCTTACAATATTGAAACAATATCGAGCCCACACATGATGAGAATAAAGGAAGATACCAATAGTGGGATTATTAGCTAAACTTATACCAAATTCTTCAGATTAACATCATAAGAATTGTGTGGCAGACAGTAAAGATAATTGGAAATTAAATTTAACAGAGTGGTTGCGACTTACCATCAAAAGCATGACTTGTAATGTTGGCTTGTAATTGTCGGCTCACCTCAGGATAGACTCTTAGTATAAAATTAACAAGGCCCTTTAAAAACAGAAGGAAAACAAAATGCAAGAAAATGTAAATGATTGGCATACACAATCCTGCTACAGTGGATGATTTGGTTTCATCAACTGAGTTGATGAATTCAATCTAAATTGGCCACTTTAAAGAGTTTCTACAGTTGATGTTTTAAGTGTTGGACCTAATGGTTGGAGTGAATGAAGTGCGTGGAGCAGACCTCAAACTAGAAAAGTCAACTCCTAGACTTGTTCATGTATAACAACACACATTTATGGCCTGGATGGGGTATAAACCATAAACCAAAAATTTAAAGATATTTTGATTGCATTGAGTCAATAATTGATCCAAAAAACAACAAATTATGTTGCATACTGGATTCTCTTCCTCAACAACAAAGACAAGTTTTCCTTTCTCATCCTCTTCTTCTGTTTGAGTCTAAAGTAAACAAATAATGAAGCATATTAAGTATTCAGTCACTGGTTAAGTTCACTCATAATATTTTATTGTAATATTTTTCTGATTGGTTATGCACTCCTGCTCTGATGACTTAAACCTTTTTACTCC